ACTTTTTTTCCCTCACTGTACTGACTATAGTGGTATCTACAGACTGTAGCATTATATACCGACTATTAAAGTAACTACTGACCCTACAGTTGTATCTACTGAATCTATAGTAGTATCTACTGACTATAGTCGTAACTTCTACCTCTATCGTAGTATCTGCTGACTATAGCAGTATCTACTGACACTACAGTAGTATCTACTGACTACAGTAGTATCTCCCGACTCTTCAGTAGTATCTACCGACTCTACAGTAGTATCTACCGACTCTACAGTAGTATCTACCGACTCTACAGTGGTATCTACCGACTCTACAGTGGTATCTACCAACTCTACAGTAGTATCTACTGACTACAGTAGTATCTACTGACTACAGTGGTATCTACTGACTCTATAGTAGTATCTACCGACTCTACAGTAGTATCTACTGACTACAGTGGTATCTACTGACTCTATAGTACTATCTACCGACTCTACAGTAGTATCTACTGACTCTACAGTAGTATCTACTGACTCTACAGTAGTATCTACTGACTATAGTATCTACTGACTGTACAGTAATATCTACTGACTATAGTAGTATCTACTGACTCTGCAGTAGTATCTACCGACACTACAGTAGTATCTACCGACTCTACAGTAGTATCTACTAACACTACAGTAGTATCTACTAACACTACAGTAGTATCTAGTGACTACAGTAGTATCTACTGACTACAGTAGTATGGCGAAGGCAACCACCATCACGAGCCAGCTTTCTCGCGCATGCGCAGATGCGTGCTCTTGCATCTTCCTGTGCTTATAAAAGGAATAAATAGTTAATTTAACTACTTTAAATTTGACAAAAGCGCGTTCTCGTCCCGGGGCATATCGCGCAGTGTCCGTGTATTGTTTTTTAATACGTAAACCCCACAGTCTGTCAGTTAAAAAGGTCACAAGCTAGCCGCTCAGACAGACAAAAAATGACTTGTATAGGTAAGATATTGATTACGTATTTTCATAAAGGGGCACACACCCAACACTGCACTGTTTTTATGTTAATGATGTACTTACCAATCAAAATTTAGATTTACGTGCCAATACTGCCCTCAATAAAATAGACATCGGCGCACATTACAAGGAAACGGGAGCAGTACAAGGGGCATGTAGCAACAGGAATGAGAAAAAATCCATCACAACCTGAGCGGCGAACAGACTGCTCAAAATACGAGTCAAATTAATGCACATTAACACATGCGAGTTACCCTATGGCAAATATAACAATATTCTGCACGTCACCTTTTGTGTTGGTGTGGTGGCTTCAGGATTATGGGCTGCGATAGCCTCTTGTGCATGATTGATTGCAATTCCATTTCATACCAATTTAAAATGAAGGGAATGTTAAACAGTGCGTTTGCTGGACACAGGACCCAGCAGTATTACATGTTTAAAAAATGCAATGATTTCGACAAATAGTTTTGCTTTTGATAAAAAGCTTTCGTGACTGCAGGGATTCATATTCTTGGTTCTTGCCGAAAGAACCAAGAATATAAATAGTTTTACTTTTAAATGTAAGGAGTCTTAGACCAAAGTTGTATGCCTTAGTACCAGATATAATCGGCTTACAAGCACACTTTATTGCCGTTTCAGAAACAGCTTACACATATTCTTGGTTCTTTCGGAAAGAACCAAGAATATGAATCCCTGCAGTCACGAAAGTGTTAAATCAAAGCTTACACATCGATTACAGATTCCGATGTATCGATCCAGCTCAATTTTCTTCTGGTGTTATCGGCCAACGGGGGATAGGGATTTTGATTCTGCATAATCTCATTTAATTTTCTCAGTCGTTCTGTCTGAACCTTCGTTATTTGTATTGATTCCAGTAGAAATGTCACATGGATGGTTTTTCGTCTATCTACCTGTTAGTGCTGACCTCCTGTGCTCAACCTTATTAGTTAATTGCTACTTGATATTGAGTTTGCCTTCACAAGCTCTGAATTGATTGTTGTTTGTGCTTAAATTTAACTCTTAATTCCTGATGCGATAAAGCTGCTAACCTTTGCCATTAACCCGACTTGATAATAGAATGCACAATCGGCAATGCAAACAGATCAGAAGTGTTTCACCATTACACCCAGCACTGGCCACCTCTTCACGTAAAGTCTCACATGTATGTTGGTCTGCACGATCGTTGCTAAACGCCCAGATACTCCTTGCAAGATGATTATATGAAGATTCATGGAAAGGTCTGATCATTTAAAGACTTATTGCAGACTAGCTTTACTACCCGGCTTCGCCCGAGACTTGGATTGTCTTGGATGAATACAACGGCCTACGCGGAGGGTGGGGATGCATGACGTCAGCAGGCACACTGCATGACGCTGCCGCATGTGGGTGACATCACAAATGTGATGTCACCCACATGTGATGTCACCGCTCACTTGCCGTGCAAAATATATCCATTATTGCACACCCCCCGCCCCCAAATACAAAAGTTTATTTTTAGACTTTTTGCATTGTGTACGGTCTGGAAGCTACCCACATGCCAAATTTCAAGTTTGTTGCATGTCAGGAAGTATGCTAAACATTTCGAACAGACACACATTCACAAATTTCCCTTTTTTATATATATAGATCTGTTCAATGCAAATTGCTCAAAGGTTCTGGGGATTATTGCTGTGGATTATTTATTTACAAGCACCAGTAATATCCAAGTCTGAAAAAAGGACATACGCATTTCATTGTTTTTTTGTATCAACAACACACTTAATTGTTTTGATTTAAAGCTTTCGTGACTGCAGGGATTCATATTCTTGGTTCTTTCGGTAAAGTCACGTAGAAGGGAAACAATAAAATATTAAAATATAAAGCAATAAAATTCTCACGACGTTTCGACTGCAACACAAGCAATCATCATCAGGAGTGAAAACCACAACAAGAAAATTTGAAAAAAGCAAAATTTTCTTGTGGTTTTCATACCTGATGTCGATTGCTTATGTTGCAGTCGAAACGTCGTGAGAATTTGATTGTTTTATATTTTTATTGTTTCCCTTCTATGTGACTTTACCGAAAGAACGAATAATATACACTTAACTGTGTTTAGTTTGTTGTCCTCGCCCCGCACCTCCGATGATCACGGTCGGCTACGTACGGTGTGAAACAAGTTCTACATACAACTAGATGAACTTAACCGTCAGACAGTCGAAACTTGAGCTCTCGATAGAAAAGACAACTGTAATCAGCCACTGCTTTCCTACAGCTCAGCAATCTGCACAACCCAAATAATTTAAGCACACATCTCCGATTCGCGCGGAAGTTCGACACACAAAGCAGGAGTGACAGTCGCACCTCTGGGTGCCATCACCTGCAGAGCTATCGCGCTCTGCTACACGTCCTCTTAGCAGTGGCACTTAATTGCGCGGGATTCTTTTCTATTTCGGATTCGTATCGCCCCCTTTGCAGGGATGCCCGATACTTGACAGCACACGACTTAAATTTCGATTTAAAGCTTTCGTGACTGCAATGATTCATCTTCTTTGGTTCTTTCGGTAAAGTCACGTAGAATGAGAATAAAATAATACATTGATAAAATAAAATAACACAATAATAATATTTTACCGAAAGAACCAAAGAAGATGAGCACACGACTTGCTTTTGTAATCCTCCGCCAACCATGCTTGGGCATCGGCAGGAGTGGAAGCAGTTCAGGCGTGTGTCACGCTCGATGAGCGAGATGCATTCCGTAACAAAAAAAAGTCTCGGGAATTGAAAAGGCGTAAAACGATTGTCGCTTTCCCATTGACTCCCATGTTAAAAGCTGAGATACGTTTCAGCCCCAAAAACGTCCACTCTGCAACAGCCTTTTTAAGGTGAGAAATACAAATTATGATTATAAAATAAAGTAATTAAGCATCAAACGTAATACCATGTATTAAGAGCGACAGTGCTTTGCGGGTGCCTGGGATTTTTGTTATTTGAAGGGTAGGTGTTCGTGGGTGGAGGGAGCGGCAGAGGCCATGCAGGACCGCTGATTCAAATATCACTCGTCACTGATGTTAGCTGTAACTGGGAATTGAAGCAGGGTTTCTGAGTTTAACACGTAGGCTTTCACGACCAATATCCATAATATAGTTTTTTTTTTGGGGGGGGGGGGTTAGATAGTGTAAATATATGAATGTCTTTAAACCCGTTGCTGGGTTAATAGCCACAATGCAGGGTTGCGAAATGGAGCACTACTCCCTATCCTGGGCGTCTGCAATTAATTAGCACCGCCACCCACCCCTGCGCACTCCCCCAAACCCGCCCACCCATCCCTCCACCCTCCCCTCCACCCTCCCCTCAACCACCCCTCCTCGACCCATCCACCCACTCTTCCCCTCACCCACCCATTACAATGCTACCCCCCTCCCCCACGACGTAACACGCAGACAGACGACACAACTGGTAAACGAACAGCTGCGTCCCACCCCCCCCATGCCGTCATGGGACGCAGATCGAGAGGTTCCTGCTCGCTAAGTGAACATTTTGCTCCTTTTGGGAACAAACTGGTATCAATTTAAATGGCTCGTTATTATGAATTGTGGAAAGAACGCTCGTTAAGCAAGACATGCCTGAAAAAAACTTGTACATATTAGCTGAGTTATTAGCTTGCTCACTTTTGACCTTTGCAGCAGTTTATAATAATTAGTTATAATTCTCACCCATTGATAGTCCATTGCTGGATGAAGGCTTCCCCATGTCACCATCAGTCATTGGGGTTGTTTGACTGTACTTCTCCATGCTGGTCAGTGAGGTCTGGTGAAGGCGTGTGGGAAGGCTGAGCCAACAACTGACTTAGGGATCACTCGCAACTGACGTTATCCATTTACAAGAATGTAACGCGGGTTTCCAGGTTTAGAGCATGGTGCTCTAACCACCACTGCTCCACCACACTCGCAACTGAAAGTGTTCCCAAGTGCCTGAGCCTGCCCCCCGCATTTAACCTGCATGTTTAATCCCAACGTATTTTTTGTGCCTTACAGGAAGTGAAAGTGAATTGGGCCACAACACCCAGCAGCCTGAAGAAGGACACAAGCAGTGAGTGCATGTCATTACGTTCCCCCCCCCTCCCCACACTGCACCACCGCCGCCTACTACACGGAGCCTGCCGGCCCGTAGAGCTGGCAGCCACAGCCAGACACAGGCCCCCCTCCCTGGCTTCTGCTCTGAGTTTAGAGAGAGAAAGAGAGACCAATGCTGCCATCTTGAGTGAGGTGTCATCTTCCCTGTTGACCGATGATAATAACCGCGTGTGTTGCACACAGACTCCTCTTGTCATGTTCGTTAAAGCCGCACGTTACTACCAAGGCCTTCGTATCAATCATGAAATAAATGCAGTGTTCGCCCAACTGTTAGACTAGTTTGAAGATATATTGGACTGACCATGATGACTATCTAGTAATGTTATTATCACAATTTTATCATAAAACTAACTTCCATTTAATTTAGTAAAAAAACATTTTACTAAGCAAAGCCTCATTAGGTGTGCTAGACTGACATTAGCCCTGATCTGTGGTAGTGAGCCCAGTTCCATTTGCACATACCAATGAGGAAGCCAATTCCCTGAGAATACCCTCACGCAAAAATATCTTACCTTGCTGCCCAGCAGGTGAGTATCCAATGTGCAGAATTCCTTTTCCATCTGTCAGTGGTCCACTCAGCCCCACTCCTATAAGTTTCTCAATTGCAGTTGCGTGCCAGTGCACCTGGCAAAATTTAATGTATCTAAAGCTTATTTATGCATTGTGCCTGCGGTGTTGCATACGTTTAGACAAGGCTCCACCAACACTTAATTTACAATTGTTAAACTATGGAAGGCATTGACCATGAGTGGCACGTTGATTTTCATTTGCCTGTAGTCAGCGCACGCCTTATGGAAATAAATCAACAAGATGGCACATGTCTGCCATGCATATACCAAAGCCAAAAAAAAAACCCCATACAATAATTTGGCTGAACATACCATCGTGGGTAGCAGTGACTCCCCGTGTAGCTTGTGCACATGAATGGCAGGAATGGCCTTGGCACTTGCGTGGGATCGGCCAGGTTTAGCAGTTCCACTCGTGCTAGCGGGTGCCTTAGTTGTTGGCTACCTCGCTTAAGGTGGCACCGTTAGGCTTGGCATTGGTGAGTCTCGTTGGGTGGCACTGCCTCTGTAATTGCTGCCAGTGGGGTGCTTGTGTCGCTGTTAGTAATGTTGCGCGGTTAAACATATTTTACGCAAAGCATTATTTTTCTCATTCACTTAATTTTCCCTTAAAACTATTGTTTATACATTTTTTTAAAGAATATTATAAATGAACATTTTTACTATATATGTCAAAATGTGTGTTACATATACCGTATTTGTATACCCAAGTACTTGTATGCATATATGCCTGTGGCTGTGTTGGCACATATGTATATAAATACGTTAATGAATTGCATAGCACTGCTGCAAAAAAACACAATGCCGTTACTTTCTTCACGTCTGATAAAGAATTCCCTCGGCGGCATCTCGGATGCCAAATCGCCTAAATGGCCACCTTTTGAGGCATGGGCGCACGTAACTTGATTGCCCGGTGATGTCAAGTGACCGCCCGCCCCCCCCCCCCCCCCCGCCCCCCACCGAGTGCCCCACAGTGTAGAGCCACTTGTAACGGTCCCCCCAATCGCTGTGTGTTTTTGCAGCGGCTGCTGCTGCTGCTGCTGGCTAGCTAGCAGTGCAATCGGCGATGTGCGCGGCTACAGCTTTGTCCGGATTGTGTTGCGGATGCGTCGCGCGGATTTAACAGTTTTAAGCGCGCCAAATTCATGGGAACGTGGCAGTGCTGGTTGTTTATAGTAGAGTTCCGTAATAGTAAAGAGTTTCATGTTTTTAAAACAGGCCCATCTACCAACTTTGGAACACGCCAGTTAGGTAGGTACACACTTAGTATTGCTCCATTTACATACGTTTGTATTTTTATTCTTAATGATATTGCCTAATATTGTCAAGGCACCATTGAATTTTTTGTGTAAGTTAAAAACAGTGTGTAATTTTTCATTGTACTTTTTTTATGTTTCACAAAAATGTGTTAAAGGACAAAAAAATGTTTAAAAATTGCTGTCTTGTTAGGGAACATGGATATAAGCGAAATTGCACTGCTAACGCATTTTCCCCCCACAATATGATGCCAATTGATAATGTGTAAATGTGTTGTCCTCTACAAATTGAATATTTTTTTTAAAAATGTGAAATTGGAACGTAGTAGGCAGCTGCATAAGGCCACGCGCCTTCAACCTGTTGCAAAAGGTGAGCGGAACCTAATTTTATACTTTTTTTTATCAACGGCCAGCAATGTTTTATTGACTTTCTCTGCTTCTCCTAATACTTGCCCCATCTACCCCCCCCCCTTTTGTCACCCTAACCATGGAGCTAGACTTAGACTAGAAAGGCCACAGTGTCTAAAGGCTTGCAACTGCGTACGCAGACCAAGCAAAGCGGCTTTCGCGTTTAGTTCAACATACTCTTTGGTTCTTTCGGTAAAGTCACGTAGGTATAAACTGAATTAAATCACGACATTTCGATTGCAACACAAGCAATCATCAGATGATTCATCAGATGATTGCTTGTGTTGCAATCGAAACGTCGTGATTTAATGTATTTTATTTTCTACCTACGCGACTTTACCGAGAGAACCAAAGAGTGTATGGACCCCTGCAGTCACGAAAACTTAAAATCTAGATTAGCTCAACGTGTTTATGCATCGCACACGTTGGTGGAGGATAACGGGGTGGGGTGTGCAGTGTGGTTGGCTGAATGAATTGTGCTTTAAAAATGGGACTGTAAGCAATTTAGAACTTTAGGCTGACCTTTGATGGTCTCTATGGATACAGAACATAATTAGAGGACTACACGTTGGATGTAGCAAATGTAAAACTGTAAATTATGGTTTCGATACCTAGAAGCTTAAGTGCTGCTTCGCATGTACAACAGCGTTAAACAATTACGCGGGTCTTCCTGCTGAAACAAACATTGACGAGTGCCCATATCACCTGGTGGCTCTCAACCATTTCAATTTACAGGAGACACTCTTCAAATGACAAAAACACTGTTGAATTAAACGGTACTTTCTACGTGAAGTAAAACAAATCAATGCGAAGAGCGAGGATATTGCAATGCTCATGATCAGCTGATGAACCTGGGTCAGTGGTGGAAATTCCACATTCCTGCAGTGGAGGACAGATTATATATTTGGTGGATATTTTTGAAGTCCCATTGCATGTTAGCTATTTACACTTCAGAGAGAATGCATGAAAACACGAGCACAATTTTCAATTACATTTTTATGTATTTTTTGTTTAAATAACCGAACCTAGGGGTAGGAAACCTTTTCCCTTCCGGGGGTTGAATCGGACTTTAAAATATATTTGGAGGCCCACATTGACGTCCAATAATAACGCAAAAAATAATGTGTGCGTTGACTGATTATAAAGTGACAGAAGTGAGTGAGTGCGGTGCTAAAATTAGAAACTGTTGCCACGTAGAAAATATTTCCCTCAGGTTTCCGATGAGTGCAGCTAAGTTGCTTTCATTGATGGATGAACATTGTTTGCAGGGCATTTTGACGCGGTACGCCTCATGATGTATGTATGTTGTATGTTTGTGGAACTTATTTTGCACCCTACGGAGCCAACCGTGCTAATCGGAGATGTAATTGCCAGCCGTCTGAAATTAAGTTGCAGGACAGAGATGTCCCGCCCCTGATTTAAACAAATTTTCGACAAAGTTCCACTCATACGATGCACAATGTATATTCACAAAAGTAAAAAAAAAGTACAATATTTTACAGTGGACATTTACAAATGTGGGACATAATACCTCGGCCACTGCCATGATAATGTGGAATTTCCACTTCGTATATACAATGGATGCCCTGGAGTGGTTTACTTTTTATGTTTGACTCGGCCCATGTAGAAATTTCATATACACAGACATCCCACAATGGTGGACACAATGAATATCACTTTGTGGCAAGTCCAGATTGGTTGTTCCATAGATGTCCTGGCCCTGCCATGGGCAAGTGCATTATCCACTTGGGGCCAATGGCTGCCAAAGGGGATGATCAGCATTGCTCATGAGAGCATGTGGAATCCTTCACTTTTGTTCAGGTTGGTGAACTGTGATCCGAGTTTAACACCTTACAATAGTGGCTAGTGATGTATAAATCTGGTTCCCCTCCCAACCACCACCAACATACACTGACCAGCATGGTGAAGTGTATGGTCAAACAATCCACAGAACTATCATTTGTGTAGGGAGGCCTTAATCCAACAGAAGTAGATTGACAAAGGACTGTAAATTATAATATAGTTTCTTAAAATAGCTTGTTCTTTTTGTCCAATATTGAATTGACAGCAGGCTGTACATTTATATTTTCACGGACATCTGTCATTATACGGCAACTCAATATACGTAATTTCGCGATGACGTAACTTGCAAAGTAATAAATAAATTTTGTCTACTTTACGTGAACTTAGCATTTACGGAATTTTGATTCTATAAATAAGATTTTTTTTTTGGGAGGAAAAAAAAATCTCACAATGGCGCGCACGGTCTTTCGTTTGTCCTACCGTGCGTTTCGTGGCTTGCGCTGTGCGCTGTTCACACTGTACCGGTTTCCCGCAATCTTGGTGCAGTCCCAGGCTTGGCGCGTTTTGCTTTCGCCCCTTTGTGTTGACCACGCCTCGTACTGTACTGTTCAGGATTTCATCCCTTTTTTCATCAACGTTCTTCAGCAAAAAGTAAGTTCAAGATGTCTGGAAAGAGCGCCATTCAGTGCGAATGATAGCAGAAGTGCCAACAAGAGACGGTGAAGCAATAATCTTAGATGAGTTCATTATCATCACCAGTCTCATCATCATCATTATTATCCGCACCTCCAGTTAGCATGGTTGGCTGCGTACCATGCGAAAGAAGTTCAACGTACATGGTACTGCAGAGAATTTTTATTTTGCGACTTACTTTGAGTATTAAAATGTTATGAAATATTTTTTTTGTTAAAGATGCGCTTTAAAAAGGTTTGCTGCATTCTTGATTGCAATTTTATTACGTCTTTGGGCCGAACTTTTGTCCGTAGGAATGCATCTCCGATAAAACAATGGAAGTCAATGGGAAAATATGCAGAATTTAGACGGACAGCCTTTGAGGGGTGCCCATATGATACGTTTCCATTAAAAAAAATTTCATGCTATTACAGTCTTACATAGAACAATTTATTCAACTATGATAGGAAGCCGTTCGCTGTCATATTAACTTTCTCAGAAATAGAACTTTATAATATAGTTCATTATGTAAGTGATTAATGGGATTTTTTAAAATAATAATAAATGAATAGACCGACCCCAAGTATTGTCTCTGGTGGGCTATGACATTGAACTCTACAAGATGGCAGCACAGCCGACAGACGGTGGCTTCACTTTTATTGAGACAGGCAAGATTACAACGTGTACTAGCGCAGTGTAATATTAGCTCTGTAACACTCATGCTGTCTCGTCTCAGAGTACAAAGCAAACCCGTAGCATTCTCGCATGTCACATGCAAACCAGGTGTGCGGCATAGCGGAGTTAGGATTTCGGAATTACGTCTGGCAATTGGTTTGCATTAGTTCACATTTGTACGGAGCTCTTTTAAGATTTTTGAAAGTGAAATTGCCCCAATTGTGCGTGTTAAAATGAGTAACGGATGCACCCACGGCACACTGTGCTGCGAATAAATACCACTGGCCCGAAACGTTGCCAATTGTATACTTTTCCTTTTAAGGCCGCAGGAAATAGAGTGTTCAGTTTTTTTTTCCATTATTTGTACCCATGACCGGGACGGTTTTTTTCTCACTTTATTGGCTTAAAAAAATGACACTGCAACACGGTGTGGTGGCAGCGGTGGCAGCGGCAGCGTCAGAGTTGTCGACCGAGGGCACGCGCGTGGTTGGTTACGGGCCGGCGATTGTCTCCCCGCGTTTCATGCACAGCTCAGTAGTCCGTGATGCTTGCACAATTATTAGTCCACCTCTTAATTCAGGCAGTCCCTTAAACAATTACTTAGTAAATGTTGCGGGCGCAGCCATTCAATGAATGGCTCGTGAACCCATTGGCTGATGTTTTAATTGGCAGTGCTCCAAACTAGTGGCTTCTTGTATGACTCCCTATTTTGCTCTCAGTGCCTGTTGTGAACATTTTGGAAGCCTGCCAAGTGCCGAGTTGTGTGTCTGTGTTTTTTTTGCTTTGGGTTGAAGCTGTACTCGCTGATCATTGCAGTATTGTTCAGTGTAGTGCCATTTGCTTTGGCTTGGGAGGGATTGTTGGGTGGCCAATCAGGATTGCTGCCATTGCTCGAAAGCATTTGCAAGCGAGTAAGTTTGGTAATGTTGCCTTGTGTCTATTACCAATGCGGGAATGTTCAATTCCTGATGGGACAAATGTTTGCGCCCGCTGTTTGCATAATAATGTTGGAGTAATGTATTTCATTGTATTTCCAATGTTTTTGGTATGCGGAACAGATGTTTTTATTTAATTAATTTGTGTGATTTTATTATTATTTAATTAACCACAGTGGTCTATACCAGCCATTATGGGTCAGTCACATGGTCGAGTGGCAGCTCTTTTGCCACTAGTTGTGGAGGGTCATGGTTCGAGTCCAGGCCGACTTGGTTATTTGTGCACGAGTATTAACTGTAAGCACCGTCTGCTTCGCAGCGGACGTAAAAAAAATCCAGTGACTTATATTTTATAAATGCTCGCAACTTACTTGAGTGGGAAATGCTGAAGCACCCACTACTGACAGCAGTCTAATGCCCATTCGCAGGCCGGTGAAGCCTATACACCTTGTGCCGCAAACGGTCAGCTGTCATTGGGTGTGCCCTTCTTCAGACTGCTGCA